GAAAGCCTGCCTAACAAGCCTGTTCGTCTGTTTCTCCTCTATCCTCAGCTAACACGTGAAAGCCCAACTTGGCCTCTTCATGACCACTTCTCTCCAGACTTTCCAAGGGCATCAGGGCCCACTGGTCCATGACCTCCTTCAAGACTACTTGCACAGTAACAGCAGTATCTCCAACCTACAAACTAATTCCACTGTTTTTCAAAGGGATATTAAAACTGAAGATCTTCTCTAATAAATGTCGTGATGAGAGCCTTCCCAAAACCTTCCTACGAGCTCCATACCGTAGCTCAGCCCCGAGTACTACCGTTCCCAAATGAGGAAGTGGGTCGGGAGTCAGAGTGAAGGAGACAGACAGGCCCTCAGGCTCTCTCTTTCTGCACAGCAAGAGTCGCGTTTTCTCATACCTCTTTCCCAACAGCGGGACCTGATCTGAAGTGAAGACGAAAGGAAGTGAAGGCCGGGCTCCTGGAGCAGCTCCAAGGCAGTGTGGAGCAACAGGTCAAGGACAGCACTTGGAGGAGTGTTATTAAGCAAGGTGGGTGTGTTGCTAGAGGGCTGGAGGAACAGAATGTTGGAGTGCAGGGAGAGGTGACGGTGCTAGGAGACTGCTAACGGCCAATTGGGCAACTACCTTAGCTGAGGAATGGCCAGGGTGGAGTTCTGCGTGCCAAAAAAACACAAACAAACAAGATAAGTTAGAATAATTGTATTTAGCTTTTTACTACCGTGTTTCTGCACGCTCAAGTGGCATTTATTCCATTTTAGGCAGAGAGCTTCGACTCAAGCGGGCCTCCTGGCTTGTCAGGACATCTATGACACAGCATCATCACGCTGTGCCATGCATGCTCGCGAAGCAGAAACACTGCGAACCAGACAGACATCACACTTGGTTTTGAACCAGGTTACTGCTCAAAAGTCTTTGAGTTTTGGAATTGGCAATGGTTACCCAAGAGCCTTTACAAAGGGCCCAGCCCCTGGGCTGCTTCAGAGGAAACGACAACTAGGCAGAAAGCTTACACGGAGGCCCACGTGCCCCTCGGTAGGAAGTAACCGCCGTCCTATTTCCCCAAAGCTCACTTTCCATGTCGGCGCAACAATGTCACAATTTCCAAACGCCAGTTTTGACATCCTTGTGTTGACTTGCCTCCATTCGTAAGAGAACTGGGATCCCCGTCCTCCGGGGGCCAACAAGTAAAAATCATCTCCCC